TACTAGTTGTTCAATAAGAGGTCACTGATCAAATTATTTAACAATTTTATAGCCAATAATTAGCATTAATTGCACTAGTGCTTCTCAATTTTGTCACCCAAACACAGTACTTCAAAAACTACACTGTACTGGAATAGAGTTCGGTAATAGAAGAAAAATTAAGGAAAGTATCTTTTACGTATGTTGAAATTGGTATCATTTAAGGTCATAGAATAGAAGGCTAAATGAATGACCTAAGAATGTGAAAGAACATTTTGCAGAACATAGTCACCAGTTGGTTCTCATCCTTCCTTAGACAAGAACAGAAGGAAATAAGCTTAAATTTCATTTTGTTTAGAGTAATGGAAGTAAGCTATGAAATCTAATTCCCAAGGAATCTTTTCTTTAAAATAAAATAGACTTACTGTCTATGAAAGTTTCAGTGCAGCCTAGATGCTAAGTATGAGACGGTACCAGATGAAGTTTTAGTCATCCATCTTTATAATCCCCGTCAAGAGAAGAAAACAAGCAATTACCAGCCTATTATGCAACAGGTGTCCTCACTTGTGTTCATTTAATCGTCACTGAAAATTATTTTTCCTCCTCTGCAAGTGAAGATTTAAACTCTGAGACTTTAGTTTGTCCAAGGGCACTGAGATTATGAAAAGCAGAGTTAAAACAGATCATTTTGTGCCCTACCAACCTAACTCAGTAGAGCACTGCTCACTCTGGCCCTCTTCCTTTTTATCCTTGCTTTAGAATAACATTAACTCCATGATTTCAAAGGTATCTTAAAAACAAAGTAAACTGGGAATACACGTAGTACTTACTGAACTATCTAATATATGAAAAGCCTAAGCACTCTATAAGAAATTACTGCATTTGGTAAAGACAACTAAACAGTAAAAGCAAGTACAATTATAGCCTGTTTTACAAGTGTCTTCCTAAGATTCAAGGAAGTTGAGTTGCTTGCCCTTGAACACACACTGGTAGCTCATGAAGCCAAGATTTGAACCAGGTGGTCTGATCCTATGGCTTTACACCAAAGCCACTACTAGATAATAAAAAATGCTATAAATATTTGTGGTTTCATAGTTTGATTTGATGTGCATACTTGAATGTTCATTACAATTTTATGTATATAAATAGCATTATTAGAGAAACTTAATAAACATTAAATAATATATTAGTGAAATGCTCAGTTAAGTGCATGGGCATTTAAAGATTAAACATTGAGTGGTGTTAACAGTGAGTCCAGAAAATCAGAAAGACTATGAACCTTGTTAAAAAAAAAATCAGGTATTCATGTCAACATACCAAGTAATCATACATGTCTAGACATTCTGGATTCACCTAGGTGTTCTGACATGTATTAGCAGGCTCTAGAAAAGACTAAGATGACACAAAATACATGCTAAGAAAGCCCATTTTCTACTTAAAGGAGGCATTTTTACCCTGGCATGAAATGAGACTGTAAGAAGCAAGCACATCAGAAACTTGGACCACAGAGCATCCAAACCCCAGCACAGACTTTACTTTTTTTTTTTTTTCTATCAAGTCATAGTTTCAAAAAGAAAGAGCCAGTTGAGATTATCTGATCTAATCCCTTTATCTTACAAAGAATTTGAGGTCCAGACAAGGTTAAATACTTTCTCTAAGGTCAGAAAGCTGACTAGTGACAGAGCAATAAATCAGTTCCACAAAGACACGCTTTTAAAGTAGATTCAACTACCTTGTAATCTCAAGTGACTTTTAAGGACTCCCACATAACTAGATAATCTCCAATCTTGTTGTGAAGTAGACATAATCTAAAAGGATCTGGAATGTTGTTTACAACTCTGGGCAATCTAAGTTCAGTGGAAGCACCTGGCTCCTGGCTTCGGCTCAGCCATTCGGGGGGTGAAACATGGAAGGAAGACCTTTCTCTCTGTCTCTCTCTCTCTCTCTCTATTTAACTCTATCTGTCAAATAAATAAAAAAAAATAAAATAAATAAAGTTTATATAATGGGTCTAGCATAGAAAAACCAGTTGTTGAGTGAATATTTCACAGCTCTTTCTACTTCTACAGCTTTAAGAACATTCCATGGCTATTCAATGTCCATTTTCTCACATGTCTTGATGCTAGAAGACATTTTCCAAATTAAATTGTTGAGATTTACGAGTGCCACTCATGGCAGAGAACAGCAATGTCCGATGTCATGAAAAGGAAGACTCCCTGGTCAGTGGTAAATAAAGCACAGCATTTTCCTTCCTGCCTCCATTGATGACAAAAACAATGATGATAATGCTTTGTTTACCTCAATTTCACATTTCTCCAAAGCAGAAAATTTCCAAAATGTTCCTCCTAAATGAAACAACTGGCAATCTAGGATTTATTTGGAAATTGACTCTGTAAATGGGGTTGGCTGTTTGGAGATTGTCTAGCAACCCAGAAAATGAACAAGATGACAAGCAGATTACCAACTGTGTATTACTAGTAATATACATAATTTTAATTAATTTATTTAGGGGACACTAAGTGCCAGACATTGTTCTAAATACTTTAAAAATACTAAATGCATTTGATTCACTTAACAGTCATAACAATAGTGTTAGGTAATGGCTATTATTATACCAATTTCAGATGAAGAAACCAAGGCACAGAGAGGTAAATAACTTGCACGAGGGCCAGTACTGTGGTATAGAGGGTAAAGCCACTAAGCCACTGCCTGCGGCACCAGCATCCTATATGGGCATCAGTTTGAGTCCTGACTGTTCCACGTTTTTTTTTTTTTTTTTTTTTTTTCCCCAGCCGGAGGGGCAAGGGGGGGGGGGGGACAGAAAGAAAGGTCTTCCTTTTGCCGTTGGTTCACCCTCCAATGGCCGCCGCCGCTGGCGCACTGCGGCTGGCGCACTGTGCTGATCCTATGGCAGGAGCCAGGTGCTATCCTGGTCTCCCATGGGGTGCAGGGCCCAAGCACTTGGGCCATCCTCCATTGCACTCCTGGGCCACAGCAGAGAGCTGGCCTGGAAGAGGGGCAATAGGGACAGAATCCGGCGCCCCGACTGGGACTAGAACCCGGTGTGCGGGCGCCGCAGGCGGAGGATTTGCCAAGTGAGCCGCGGCAACGGCCATGAACAGTTTTAAATACAGACCTCTGTACTCTGAAATTACAAAGTTGGTAAGAGCAGTCCTCTATGACTTGCTGTCCTTCCCTGGAATTCCCCCTTGCTCAAGGTAAAGAACTTTTGTTGTTCGGTAGACCTCCAAGCATGTTAAAAAATTGTCCAAAGACTTTCATTTCACTAAGATCCCTCTTGATAGACATGTTTCATAGAAGACAGCAGGGTAGTCCCAGCAGTTTTTAATTCTAAGCCCACTTATCGAGTATTATTGTGATGTTAGTGCTAGGAAAGCCAGGTAGGAATTCTTAACTAAGGATTCGAATTTATAGTCAGTCCCCTTTCACATGCACAAAATAGAAAATAACTTATTACACAGAGGCAAATAATTCATCTACAGTCAGATTGTTGGTAGGTCTTCTGTTTGCAAAAGTATCCTACAAATATTTAGGACTACCTATTAACTCAAATATTCCCAAATTTCACCACTATTGCCTCTCTATGTAGTTGTGAATCATTGTGTAAACAAAGGCAGATCTGTGCAACTGGACAAATATTTTAGAAATTAACAAGTTTAAGTCAATTTATAGAATGCGCTCAGTGTTCCCATCTCTGCTGAAATGTTTTGAGGTTGGTAGGGAAAATGTGATGACTTTCTAAAGCCATGCAGATGAGGAAACCAAGGCGTAGTCACCCAGAGTGACTTACCTGAGAACACAGAGTTAATTAAAGACTGGACCTGTGATTCAAACCCACATGTTCCCCTCTAGATTCCAGAGTCGAGGAATTTGCTCTCCTCTAACATCCACACTGCTTCATTACCTAGTCTGGGGGCTGACGGGACGGCTGCAATGTCTGGCCTTTTGAATGTTTACAGTATTCCTATTCCAAGTCATTCTTTCTTATGTCTTGGCCACCTCTCCCACAATCTAACTTAGATCCTATCTTCATTCTCTGTGAAACTGCCAACAATTACTAGTACAGGGCCAAGGCAGCTCCTGTAACTTTGAAAAATTGGTTGTTCATTCAGTAACTAGATGAAAAAGTTTTAGAAGGCCAATCCCAGTTGGGTGCAAAGAAATTGTATGCCAGAAGCAAATCTGTTTTTTTTTTTTATTATTTCATAAAAGTTCACTAACTTTCTTTTCTTTCTGTTTTCAGAAAAAGGTATAATGACTTTGATGACAGTATCCATTCCTTTCAATGAATCAAATACTCTCAGATAATACTGATGGAGAATGTAACATTGCTGGGTATAATTTATCAATAAATAAACAAATTTATGTATAATTTTAAAATTATACTTCTAATTTTAGAAGTGTTACCTAAATAAACAAGTAGAGGTGTTCAAATATATCCCCAAACTCCTACATTTGACATTTAAAATTAGATAACCAAAATATTAGCTACAATCCAAACTTTCAAACTCCTAGAATATTTTGTGGGGCAACCAAGTCAGATCTTTGTTCTTGAAATAACTTTTAAGTAATTGAAAATCATTTGAATTTTTTTGCTGTTTTTATTTTTATTTTTTTAGATTTTATTTATTTATTTGATAGGTAGAGTTACAGTGAGAGGGAGAGACAGAGAGAAAGGTCTTCATTCTGTTGGTTCACTCCCCAGATGACCTCACCAATCCAGAGCCAGGAGCCAGGTGCCTCTTCCTGGTCTCCCATGTGAGTGCCGGGGCCCAAGGCCTTGGGTCATCTTCCACTGTTTTCCCAGGCCATAGCAGAGAGCTGTATTGTAAGAGGGGCAGCCAGGACTAGAACTGGCACCCATATGGGATGCCAGTGCCGCAGGGGGAGGATTAACCTACTGCGCTGCGGAACTGGCCCCAAGCTGTTTTTATTTCGAGGTTATCAATATCTTCCTTTATCCAGACAAACTAAGTTTAGTCTGTGAGTGAGTCACATACCTTTATTATGTGATGTTTTTCCTGGAACACAGGAATCTTAAACATTTGACACCAATATGTTGTACCTTTGTTTGGGATGGGGACCTGTCTTAATAAAAAGGGGAAGAAGACACAAGGTCACATTGTATTCAATCCAATAATGTAAGCAAAGCCTCTCTTATACATCTTCAATAAACCCATATGACAATCAAACAACCTAAAAAAACTTACGTCTTGATTTACCAGGTCAAAGTATGGTGAGGCTGTAGACAACACACTGGTTTTCTCAGGATTCAATAACCGAAGACTCTTAGTACCCCGATTGGAGTCATGGTACTTGGGTCCAGCTCCTTCCACATCTTCATGATGGTAGGCCCAGATCACTCTCACTGTACTATCCTGGAGATCAGACATAAACACCATTATGTCTCATGACAGCGCTTTCCTTATCTCCCGAGGTGAGATTAAAGAACTCTATCAAAGCAGGATACAGAAACGAAGAAAAGAGGGTAAGGATATTTGGAGTTCTCAACATTCATTAGGCAAATTTTATTAAGACACTAAAGATCTGAGTAGATGACTGACTTTTTGGAAGGAATTGGTTTTTTTAGCACACAAGATACATGTTCCAAAACAGAGGGAAAGACAATTGACTAATTACGAGTATGAAAGAGTAAACAATTATGCCAAAACTCTAAACTACCAACTAGTAATTACCAAGCAAATATCCTTGATAAGCAGCAGGGATTTTGAAAAATCGCAACCCACATTATTACTATGAAATATTTTAAGGGAAACAAATAAATAGAATGAAAATTAATATTATCTTCAGCCTTTTTATTTATCATAAATTGTTTTCCTAGATGCTAGCCCAATCAAATGTATGTACTTACAGAAAGTACAAATGAAGAAGGAATTTCTGAATCTGGTTTGTCTGTGATACAAGAGTCATTTCATACATCCTGGGAATTTCCAAGGGGTTGGGGTACCCCAACTAGGGAAAGTACTGCTTAGTGAAATTAGTTTCCATTGAGCAACCAAGAGAAATCACACAGAGGGTTGTGGGGTGGGGAGGTTTTGCTGGGATATAAGGAAAGTGCTCAGTCCTCTCAAAGAAAAAGCTGTTTGCCAGATCTTTGTAAGAAGAACTTTGAAAATAAATAACAAAGTGAAAGCTACATATTTTAAATGTTCCCTTTCCTAACTTTCTTATATTCTCTCTTAATAATTCAAATGACTATAATTATTTTTCCAATTAAAGTATAATTGCACCATATATTATATAAAGTGATCCATGTCTTTGCATGTTTTTTCTCCCGTTTTTACTCTTTATGTTGAATGTTAATTAAAACTACTTCTGATTCTTTTACATTCCCATTTTTAAAGCTTTGATTTACCATGTAAAAAAGATCACTTTATTGGTCTACACCAAACGAAATTCATCCAAACAATGTATGGAAATGTATGAAGAACCACATGAATTATATATTATTTAAATATTTAACTTGCATATGCATAATGGTATTAATTTTTAATGAAGTCATAAAGTAAGAAATCTGGCATACTATGCCAATAGACAATTATAATTAGCCTACTATTCATCTTGATTTTAGAAATTCACGGCCAGCGCCGCAGCTCACTAGGCTAATCATCCGCCTTGCGGCACCGGCACACCGGGTTCTAGTCCCGGTCGGGGCGCCGGATTCTGTCCTGGTTGCCCCTCTTCCAGGCCAGCTCTCTGCTGTGGCCAGGGAGTGCAGTGGACCTGCACCCCATGGGAGACCAGGATAAGCACCTGGCTCCTGCCATTGGATCAGCGCGGTGCCGGCCGCGGCGGCCATTGGAGGGTGAACCAACGGTAAAGGAAGACCTTTCTCTCTGTCTCTCTCTCTCACTGTCCACTCTGCCTGTCAAAAAAAAAAAAAAGAAGAAGAAGAAATTCACGACAATGATTGAGATATAAATCATATAACTATATTCTAATAGTATCATAATTATCTCTTGTTTAATACACTTCTTCTAATCTGTACCTATAATCCATTTTCAAACTTTATAAAGAAGCTAAAATACATTTATAAGTCAAATCACTCAAACTTTTTTTTCCCAAAGAAACCTTTTATTTAAGAAGTACAAATTTGGTAGGAACAACTTTAGGAATATAGTGATTCTTCCCACCATACCTAACCTCTTACCTCTACTCTCACCACAAACTCCTCCTCCCTTTCCCATTCCCAGTCCTATTCTTCACTAAGATTCATTTTCAATTAACTTTATACACAGAAAACCAACTCTATACTTAGTAAAGATTTCAACAATTTGCACACACATACACACATACAAAAAAAAAACTGACAACAAGTTTCACAGTTAATTCTCATTATACAACTCATTGAGGACATAGGTCCTGCATTGGAAGTAAGTGCACAGTGACTCCCGTTGTTAATTTAACAATTAACACTCTTATGTATGATGTCAATGATCACCCGAGGCTCTTGTCATGAGTTGCCTAGGCTATGGAAGCCTTTTGAGGCCACAATCCCCATTAGTATTTAGATAAGGCCATAAGCAATGTGGAAGTTCTCTCCTCCCTTCAGAGAAAAGTACATCCTTCTTTGATGGCCACGTCTTTACACTGGGGTCTCATTCACAGAGATTCTTTGTGCAGGACTTTTTTTGCCACTGTGTTTTGGTTTTCCATGCCTGAAATGCTCTCGTGGGCTTTTCAGTCAGACCAGAATGCCTTAAGGGCTGATTCTGAGGTCAGAGTGCTATTTAAAGCGACTGTCATTCTATGAGTCTGCTGAAATCACTCAAACTTTAAACAGCTCTATAAATTGTTAAATTCACACAATAATGCCTTTATTGAAATTTATCATCTTAAATTTCTTTTTTGGATTTTCAAAAATATTCCAAAAGACTATGACTTTGTTTTTAAAATTATTTTAAAACATTTTTCTTTCTATTCTGTCAAGCGTTTCAAAGTATAAATAAACCATTTATTCTTGCAAGCATTGTTCCTGGAGTTCTTACCGTTATACTCTTATCATTTGTGTCACAAGTATGCAGTTCTCTGCTAAATTCAATTATTGTGTGTGTACTATTTTCCATAGCATATTCCAGGTGGTAATCTTGTTGAGGATCTTTTTTCAACTCTTTATTTGCACTTGTAAAATAATCCTGTGAAAATAAATGAAGAAGAAAAGTCAGGGGATGGGCATTGTGGTGCATCAGGTTAAGGTCTCACATGGTATGTCTCCTTCCCAGATCAGAATGCCTGGTTCCAATCCCACCTCTGCTTCTTATCCAGCTTCCTGCTAATGCACACCCCAAGAGGCACAAGGTATGACTTCAAGTACTTGGTGCCCTGACACCTCATGGGAGACCTGGGTGCAGTTACTGGCTCCTGGCTTCAGCTTGGCCCATCCCCAACTGTTGTGAGAATTTGGGGAGTGAACCAACAAATTGATGATATTTCTCTCTCTCCCCCCCCTCACTCCCTCTCTCCCTTTCAAATAAATACAAATAAATAGATAAACAACAAAAGTGAAAGAAGGGAAGGGAAGGAAGGAAGGAAGGAAAGATGGAAGAAAGGAAGGTAGGCAGGCAGGAAGGAAATGGGTGCTGTGGTGCATCCACTTCTCAAATCAGAACACTTAGTGTACCCAGTTACTTTACACTTCCAAATCAGCTTCTTGCTTGTGTACTTCAGAGGCAGCAGATGATGGCCTAAGTACCTGGGCCCTGGGTCCCTGCTACCATAGCCAGATAGAGTACCTGGCTCTTGGCTTTGGCTTGGCCTAGCTCTGGATATTGCAAGCATTTGGGGAGTGAACCAGAGGATGAAAGACTCTCTCTCTCTCACACACACACATCACTTTTCAATTAAATAAATAAATCTCATAGAAAAAAAGGAAAAAATTAAAAGAAAAATCAGAATATCCCAAATATAGAGCAAAAAAATAAGAGAATTTATAGAACTGAAAAAGAACAATTTTGGTCATCTGCATTCATGTTTATAGCAGCACTATGCAAAATACCTAAGAAACAGAAATAATCTAAGTGTCCATTAACTGACAAAGAAAATTTCACACATACACATAAATGGAATACCCTTCAGCCATAAACATGATTAAATCTTCTCATTTGCAATAACATGGATAGAAGTATAAGCCATTTTGTAAAATGAAAAAAGCCAGGCACAGAAAGATGAGTACTGCATTATCTCCCTCATAAGTGAAATGTAAAGATGTTAACCTTACAGAAGTTGAGAGTAGAATGATAGTTACCAGAGACTGGAAGGAGTAAAATGGAGGCAGGTGGAGTGTCTACAGATTGATTGACTGGTATTAAGCTATATTTGTGAAGGAGGAATGAATTCTGGTGATTTGTTCAGAATAAGGTAGCTACAGATAATGATAATATACTGTGGTTTTATTTTTAAAAAGCTAGAGGAAAGCATTTTTTAAGTTTTCACCATAAAAATGATAAATGATTGAGAATATAGATATACTTATTCTGATTTCAACATTACGCCAATGTATGTATATCAAAACATCACATGGTACCACACAAATACTTACAATTTTCTGCATTAGTTAAAAATAAAATAAAATAAATAATTCTGAGTTTGCTTATTACAAAACATGGACCTAGAGACATTTTCAAAATCTGGAGAATTTTCAAGGAGCTGGAATAGTCCAATCAGGGAAACAGTTCCCTAGGAAACTGGTTGATATTTAAACTTTTGGTCCTTTAGAAAAATGCAGTATAGATTTATAACATCATAGAGGGCCAAAGGAGGTAGAGTGAATGAGCACTTGAAATTTCCCAGAGGCATACAGCACCATGAAATGTCTTACCCCAAAATAAAATACCTTGACAGCAACAAAGCCAGAGCCAGCCCAGGGTTAGCACTCTCCACTGTTATGACTGGTGCAGCAGCCCTTCACCATTCATAAGTAAAAAAGACTTATGGGAAAAGGATTGTATTGTCACATTATGAACGTTAGTGGGATGTGCTTTTGAAAGTGAAATGCAATGGAAAAATATGCAGAGATGAAATTAGTTGAGTTAAAAGATACAAAAAACTAGGGGCAAGTGCTGTGGCATAGTTGGTAAGGCTGCCACCTGCAATACTGGCATCCCATATGGGCACCAGTTCAAGTCCTGGCTGCTCCACTTCAGATCCAGCTCTCTGCTAATATGCCTGGGAAAGCAGTAGAAGATGGCCCAAGCACTTGGGCCCCTACACCCACATGGGAGACCCGAAAGAATCTCCTGGCTCCTGGCTTTAGATTGGCCCAAGTCCAGCTGTTACAGCCATTTGGGGAGTGAACTAGTGAATGGAAGATCTCTCTCTATCTGCCTCTTCCTGTTTGTAACTCTGTGTTTCAAATAAATCAATAAATATTTTTTTAAAAAAAAGAAGATACTGAAAACTAGGGAAGCTTGATTTTATGGATCAGGCATAATTTTTAGACTAAACTTGTTTAATGGTGTACAGTGACTTTGGGGAGGCAGACAAGTTCAACAAGGAAGACAAATGACTAACATCTAACCCTAAACAGCTTTAAAGAGTTGCTGAAGTTGGGGCCAGCACTGTGGTGCAGCAGGCGCCCTGGCCTGAGGTGCTGGCATCCCATATGGGCGCTAGTTCAAGACCCAGCTGCTCTACTTCTGATCCAGCTCTCTGCTGTGACCTGGGAAAGCAGTAGAAGATGGCCCAAGTCCTTGGGCCCCTAAGCCCACGTGGGAGACCTGGAGGAAGCTCCTGGATCCTGGCTTCAGATCGGTGCAGCTCTAGCCATTGTAGCCAATTGGCAAGTGAGCCATCAGATGGAAGACCTCTCTCTCTCTGCCTCTCCTCTCTCTGTGTGTAATTCTGACTTTCAAATAAATAAATCTTTAAAAAAAAAGAGTTGCTGAAATCAAACTCTGAGAGCTTCAGTTTTAACATTAGTAAAATTGTCATAATGCATGCCTATTTTATAGATTTTCAAAGATAAGTAAAATGAAATAGCATGGTGGGACTGCCTACCAAGGTTAGTATATTTTCAATGCCAATTATTTCCCCTACTTTGGAATACAGTTTTCCCTGAGAAAATATTTCTTTGTCTACTACCATGTGTTTACTCTGCTGAAAGTTATCAAAATCATGTTAATTTTCATCATTTATAAAAGACACAAAATTTGTCATGATGTTTTTCCAGTTCCTAATGACATTTATTTTTGAAACACTGTGAAGGTTCTTTTATAACATACAGGCTGAAATATAATTAATTTTATTAACTTTAAAATTGTACTTAAAGAATTGATCACTAATCTTGACTGAGGACCTACAATATACCAAAAAAAACCTTAAATTGCATAAAAAAAGTCACACTCAAACAGATGATAGTTGGCATTTTTATTCCTAATACCTTTTTCAGATAATTATCAAGAATATGCAAATTGATATCCAGAGTACCTGTTCGAAATATTCTTCAATATGTTAAGACTCAAATTACTGTCAATGTGTAGAATCCAGGGAATCTTTTTTTGCCCTGGGAACAATAACTACAACTTACGAATATGTTCTATGCACCAGGTTCTGTTTCAGCATGTTACAGTAATGAACTCATTTCATCTTTATGTCAAATCTATGAGATAAAACTATTTTCCCATTTTACAGACACAAACTCTGAAGGACACAGAGATTAGGCAATCTGCCCAGGATTCTGCAGCTGGTAAACATAAGGGCAGTATTCAGACCCCGATGGTCTACCTGGAGTCTGTGTCCTTCACTATTCTACACTATAGAAGTTTCTACAGAATGAGGATGGGTTACCCTGGTTTATTTTTGGTTTTCTGTCTATAAAAATTAGCTACATCAGTTTTTTTTTAATTTTTATTTATTTGAAAGGCAGAGTTACAGAGAGACAGAGGGAGAAATTGAGAGAGAGAGAAAGAGAGAGAGAGCTCCCATCTGTTCACTCCTCAAATGGCCACAATGGCCAGGGCTGGACCAAGCCGAAGGCAAGAGCCAATAGCTTCATTAGGGTCTCCTATGAGGGTCCAAGGGGCAAGCACCTGGGCCATCTTCCACTGCTTTCCCAGGCCCCTTAATAGAGAGCTGGATTGGAAGTAGAGCAGCCAGAAATCCAGCCGGAGCCTACATGGGATCTAAGCATGATCCCAGCCAGTGGCTTAACCTGCTATGTCACAACAGTGGCCCCTACATCAGTTTTTAACATAAAATGTTGCATTCCTACTGCCAATGTCAGGGTTTGTCTAGAAATTTATTCTGAGAACCAGGTTATAATTGTGGAAACAATTTAGACAATGCACTCCCATGTGCTGTGATATCTCATTTTTCATCACAAAGATTTCAATATGGAAATGAAACAATGCTTATGGACAAAGAAGCATTTGAATTAACTAGCTGTGCCTTTACACTAAACTCATCTCTTTACATAACTCATGCAGTCACAATTTTTGCAAACAAAAAGAATACAATACAAAGTAATCAGTTGAAAGAGTAGAATGATTATCCTAGTCTTGTAAATATGTGTCCAAAATCATTAGTTCTACAAAATATACATCTGACTTGCCAATTTTCCACTTGTTTTATTTTCACTCAAACAGTCCTAACTCCATCTAGCCACTCCATCTTTTTCTGGCATTTCAGAAAACTTAGGAGAAATTATCAAATTTCAGATATCATAGGAGAATCTTCAATCAGCTTATATTGAAGATTCAGTGAGCTCATCTGGCCTGAACAAACCCCAACAACCTCCTATTTAGAAAAGACTACTACCAGTTACCTCAAAGTTTTGGATTCCTAGTAGAATGTGATTGAATGAAAGGTGATGAGTTCAAACTTAGGGAAAATACAGTTGGATTTTACTAAAACTAAAATTGAAATGTGAACTAACCTAACTTCCATTGCAATTCTATTATTACTCTTTCATGTTTTTCTAATTTTAGTGCCTATTACAGGCATATATTCAGATTTGATCATAAATAGCAGTAATATTATTATTTACATGTTTGCTTCAGCAGAATCCTCATTAACACACAAGTTAATCTCTCACTATTTTCCCAGATCTTCCAAATATTCTAAACCTTTTCTATGCAAGATGTTAACCGCTCTCCACTGTCAGCTTATGATCTAATCTCACTATTATAGAAAATCCTAA